TTCCTATCTTCAGCCACTAGCCAGAATAAATTAATATATTTTGAATTTCTAAGTGACATTTTGGATGGGACCAGGGGATAGGTCTACCACTGTTCCTAGTTTAGTTAGGCTTAAGGGTCAGTACCAGAGCTGTAGCCACAGCAACAGCCTGGCCTTCCACTGTTTGTACAGTAAAAGCTCTGTTATCCAGCATCCCCTGGGAATGGGGGATGCCGGTTAATCAAATATGCTGGTTAATCAAATGTGCACCATCTGGTGCACTCCCTGGCATCAGTGTGCTGAGGGACAGGGAGGGGGGCCCCACGCAGGTTGCTTTGCCCCAGGCTGTGGGCTGAAGAGGTGACAAAGAAAAGCTTGGCTTGCAGCAGCAAAACCGGAAGTCCCATGGAAGTGGTACTTCCAGTTTCACTTTTGCCATGTCCCCCGGATGCCGGTTAGTAGAGTTTTCTGGCTAATAAAGTGCCGGTTAACACAGCATTTGCTGTACTCAGTTTCAGGACAAGGGCCTTCCCCACAACCCTGCCCCACCATCATGTTAAATGGGGGGAGTAGAAGCATCTCATTTTGGAGTTAAGTAAATATGGTACATGAATAATCCAGGATTCAGCTGAAATAACTGTGAAAGGTTAGGTGTGGGACAGCAGAAGTAAGAAGCTGAAAGGAATAATTATTACTGGTAAACAGTAATTTACCTTGATTCTAAGATTACACATTAGTGAAAAAGAAGTATTATACAACTGTTTGCAAGCACTAATAATACAAAAAATAGTGGATCTGAAAACAGACTTTGCAAAATTAAGAGCCGTCTAAAAACAATATTTTAATTATAACAGTTATTTACTATTTCATTACATAAGGTGCATTATAATCCCTCTGTTTTTATGTCCTTATACCTTTCTAAGACAATGATCACTTGTAGAGCTCACATTATCTTTGCTTATTCTTATCCACAAGATAATATTTTTTGATTATTTGAGGAAAAAATATCACTTGAGTAACTACAGAATGCCAGGTGAGAGTTTCTTTGTAGCTGTATGTGTAATTGTTTGGTAGCCAAGGATATTGTTAGAATACAGAAAGAGAAACCAAGGAACAAAGGCTTGTAAAGGAACAGAAGCTAGGTGAGAAACAGACTAAGCGAACATGAAAACAAGATTTAAAGAGACTGGAAAACATTTTTGTTCTTTCTGTTCCACATCATCAGTGCCTGTTTAATAGAACAAGAAAAATACAGGTATATTAATCAGAACATATTAAAGCCAAGAAAAATGGAAGATATTTCCAGCAGCAGCAAACCATTTTTGTTGCATTTTAATGATCAATGAGCCTGGAAAAAAAGACTAAACACTGGAACTCAGATTAAATTTACAGGAGAGGAAGGAGGAATTACGGAACTGAACTCCGATAGTGACAGATATGACAGTCAAGTCCATATATTGTACCAGAAAAACCACAAAGTGAAACAGGAGCTATGTGAAGTAATGCAGGCCCCTGACAGATGTTAAAACAATGGCATGACTGGGATTGGAGGGGTTTTATGTTGCAGCCCAAGCATCATGTCTCCTGCCATGCCAGACATGCACAGCCAGAGACACGATGTACTAGAGCACAGACCTGGGATTCCTCTGGTCCCAGTCGCACTACTGCTGAGCTGCCTCCAGTCTGATCCTGCAGACTGGGCAGGGGGTGGCTCTGTCCCAAATCCAGGCCTGCTCCCTACGCTCCCTGGTTCTAAAACCAGGGTTGTTCCGGCTGGGTCTGACAATCAGCTGATTGGGACAACCTTCAGAGAGTCCTTAAAGTACCTTCTTGAAGACCTGAGGCACTGGGACCCTGAGATTGGGGAGCCTCTCCTCCAGCTGGGGGTCCCATGCCTTGGGACATCTAAAATGTATGGGTTTGGCCCAGCTCCCTGTAGCTTGGCATTTTTAAGTGCCTTTCCCTGCAGGGGAGTCTGCTAGGCTGTGAGGTTGCTGGCTTCCCAGTGGCCAGAGCCCCTCAGCTGCCCCCACGCTTGCAACCAGGTTTCATGGCAGCTGTTTTTCAGCATCAGGGCTGACTGTCACCATTGGTGTGGCTACATGTACAACTTATGATGTGGAACAGAAATCAGAGTAACAGATTGGGCAGGGGAAGAGGTTTGAGTGGTACTTGGGGAGGGTGTGGGGCTGACCTTGTGGCACACCTGCTAAAAAGGCTGGTCCCTAACTGCTGCGAAGAATAATCCTGAGATGTTGCCAAGGTAACCCACCAGAGCATAGACCTGGGATTCTGCTGGGGATTATATTGAGACAAGGAGAGGTGGGATTGTTTGTCAACTTTGGATGGAGTGGGAAAGAATAAGATTAAGTGCCTGATTTGTTGTAAAATAAATGGAAACCTCATATTCAGTATTTCACAGTGATCCAGGGACAGAACATTCTCCCAAAATATATGACACCAGTAGAGAGTGAGAAGAGGACAAAGTCTAGAGAAATCAGATTACCCTGAGACACCATGCTGACATATTGTGATAGGAGTCATACTTTAAACATTGTTATGAATAAGTCCTATTTTCATATATCTAGTGTTAGTTCTTAGCTTGTTACTCAAGTTTTTGGGGGCTTTTGGGGTGGAGCTGGTGGTATTCAAAATATTGGGTTTTGGGGTTTTTTCTGTTTTTTTTTTTTGTTTGTTTTTGTTTTTGTTTTTTTATAATTATGGACTTCCTTGTCCCCTAAATTTTATTCTGGGTGTGTACAAATGCAACTTGATGAAGAACATGCTGTCTAATTTTATTCCAACCATGCAGTTCATCCAATAAAATATATGACCCCAAAAATCCTTGCCTTTTGCATAATTCCTGGACCATCATGGCTATACCATCACTCTAACACTACCAAGCATCTTATTACATGCTATCCTCTCAAGTACTTACATTTAATTAAAATAGAATGTAGAAGAAAAAATAGTATAATTTTGATCCAACCTGGAATACAATTAGGACGAGAATAATCTTGGGCTTAACATCAAGGAGAGAAGTGAAGGAAATCTTGCCTCCATCTCCCCATTGTAAACCCAGTGAAAGATGATTGCAACCTGGTGTTTGAGAGCACTTGGACTACTCTATGTATCTGTGGGAATATAGATTATCCTAAAAGCCTCCATGAGAATTATTCCTTGAATAAAGGCAGAGCTAAATTTTGCTGGATATAGTCAAGGTATGAAAACAATGTAAACATCGCAATGGCTTGACAGATACAAATCCTGGAAACAACAGATGTTGATGTTAATTAATGACAAGTGATTTCAGAGACAGGGAGTCTCAGGTGATGCAATTTTTTAAGAGTCCACACACTACTAAGAAGAACTGACTGAAGCATTTCCAGCAGAAATTCTATAGAGAAAGATAATCCACCTTTTAAAAATTGTAAATCAGCCAAGCTATCTCATTTTCCTTACGTTTTGGGGGCTGCACTTTACTGTCCCCAGCCTGTACTGGCGCATGGGATTGTTCTGTCCTAAGTGCAGGACTTTGCACTCGCCCTTGTTGAACTTCATGAGATTCCCTTTGGTCCAGTTCTCCAATTTGTTTAGGTATCTCTGAATCCTAGCCCTATGCTCCAGCATATCTAATGCTGGATTCAGTCATGGTGTTTACCCTGGGCTAACATAGGCCGCATGACAAACTGCATGTTTTAGACTGCATTAATGTATACAAAGTACATACCAACATGGCTACTATGTGCAGGGGTCTATATTTTCTTCCAGCTCTACAAAGCCATGTAAATAACTATGATTTGAAAATTCACTAATAAAGTTTTAAATTTGCAAAAGTTTTTTCAAAGAACTAAACTCAAGCTTTAGAAAAAACATATTCCCACTTGTCTTGATCTTTGCTTTTAAAACAAATGTGAAATTTGAGTTCATCTACATTAGGTCTATTACAAATTCCTTACAAAACTCTATGGTGTTCCCCAGTGCTCCCTAAATATCCAGTCCTCCCTGGACATCAAGGGTGAGTGTACATTTGTTCTCAATGCCCTACAGTGACTGGAGATGAGAGCTCTTAGCATTCCCTAATAATCAGAGGTGCTGGTTATCACCTTCTAATTTAACTTTAGGTGGTATGATTTTAGCCACATGTAATATGGCTCATAATTCATATAACCAGAAAAAAGTATTACCGGCTTAAACAAAAACACGTACCTTTGTGGAATATAGAACATGTGCTGAGGAGGAGGTTTGTAGAGAACTCCTTCATATACTGGCCATAGACCACTTAAAATTCTGAAGAGAGAGCTCTTTCCACAGCCATTGGGACCAGTGATTAAAAGATGCATTCCTTCCTGTACCTAAAATCGTAATGAAAATGATGAAGCAACAATTTTTCAAAAATGACTACTTTGCACTAACACATAACACTAACACCTCAAAACGAAGCCACCTAAAAAGTTTAAGTCAGTTTCACTAGTAATGTAGTCTGCTTGAAAAAAACCCAAACAAAGAACCCCCAGTGGATTTCCATACAACATATGCATTCAAAGAACAAAAGCAAAGGAACCAGTAGATATCATATTTACTAGCCCCAGGAAAGCAACAACATACCCAGGGTCTAGATAGCATGTTATCACTTACGGAAGACACAGGATTATTTTGTGCGAGTCATTATCACTGAAATCTTTTTAATCATTGGGTTACTTTGTTTCTTGGATAAAGGCTGAGGGCAGTTTATTTCAACATGCTATAAAACTGAATTCTACTTTCACAGAGTTGGGAACACTTGCCCACATAACATATGTCACTATCTATGAGGGATTCTGATTTCTGACATTCTTGTACTGCATCTACAAAAAGCACTTAGAGCCAAATATTCCCTTCACATACTTGTGCTTCAGTCTAAGTGGACTGTAAGCAGTTAAAAGGAATTAGTACCTTACAAGCTTAACATGCCTGTAAACTAGATTAAACTCCATTACCATGTCAGTCTGCAGCTGGTGATATCAATTTTTCTTATGGAATCAGACAGAAAGGGGTAAACTCCCAAAGCAGTATATAAAGTCAATCCCCCTAACCATTTTGACTACGTAGAGGTTCAAAAAAACACAAGGCAAAAATAAATTCAATATTCTCCATTTTTTTCTAAGCTGCCTAGATTGAAGCAGTAACAAAGTGAACTGATGTCCAGTGTTTGGGTGGCCAAGACGGGCAGAAGCCTACACTGGCCCAGGCCAGGCACTTATGCACACCATCCCTCATGGCCAGGTTCCCTGAGGCTGTTGAGCTCAGCTCAGTGGCAGCCCAGGCCTGGTTGATAGTCAGAGTCTATGGGGTGCAAGGGAAAAGCCTGCCCTTGGTGTCTTCCCCTCCACTCCCCTGGTCCAAGACGCTCCTTCCCCAACCCTCTGCCCCAGAAGGGGAGGAGGGAGGGGGAGACCACCCCCCAGTGGACCACCCAGTCAACATTTGCCCGGTAGGGAGAGGAAAGCACCCACTTGGGGGCTTTACACCCCCCAACATGTTAAGCCCAGCTGGGATTGCCCCAGTTCCACTCCTTCCCCAGCCATCACCTCCCAGAGGAGCAGGGGGGGACAAGGGTGGGAATGCACCAGACCCAGACCCCTTTACCAGTCCTCCCAGCCAAGGTGTGCTGGGTGCGGAGGGGAAAGCCCCCACTAGGAGGCTTCCCCCCACCCCCTTGCAGCTTGAGCGAAGCTGGGATCACCCCACCCCTCCTCAGCCATGAGCGGCTGGGGGGAGGAGGAAGAAATGCCCCCCCCGCACCGGCACTCCCGCTGCAGTCTGCCTGGTGCCAGGGAAAAGCACCCATCTGTGGGATTTTTGCCTCCCTGCAGCTCAGAGCTGGGCTAGGATCATCCCAGCCCTGCTCCTTCCCCAGCTGGCAGACAGCGGAGGAGGGGGTGGGGCTGGGGCAATCCCAGCCCCAAACCGCAGGGGACAAAAAACCTTCAGGTGGGTGTTTTTCTCCCTAGCAAGGCAGACCATGAAACTGAGGGGGGCAGTGCGAGGCCAGGGCAGTGCATTCCCACTCCCTGCTGCTCAGAAGTGACAGCTGAGGAGAAGGCAGGGCTGGGGTAATCCCAGCCCAGCTTTAGCTGCTGAGGGGCAGGGGGGAGAGGTGAAAATCCCCCCAGTAGGTGTCCTCTGCGCCCAGCACCTCAGCTGGGGAAGCTGGTGCAGGGGCAGTGCGTTCCCACCTTTTGCCTCCCCCCGCCCATCTAGGATGCAATGGCTGGGACAGGGGTGAGGCTGAGACAATCCCAGCTGAGCTTGAGCTGCAGGGGTGAAAAGTCCTCTTGGCAGATATCAGCTGGGGGGACCACTGGTGTGTGTGTGGGGGGGGGGATAGGGTTTCTACACCTGCTCTTCCCATCCCTCTCAGAGGCAGAAGACTGGGGAAGAGGTAGGGTTGGGTTGTGATCCCAATGCAGCTTAAGCTGCAGGGGGGGAGGGTGGGGTGAAAAGCCCCCCAGTGGGTGCTTTTCCACCCCACACTGGGCAGACCTCAGGTGGGGGGTGCATTCGACCCCTGCCTCCCCCCGTCAGAAGCAGATGGCTGAGGGGGCTGCAGGCCTGAGCCAATCCCAGCCTTGCTCAGAGCTGCAGGGGGGCAGGGGAAAAGCTCCTAGGTGGGGGCTTCCCCCTCCCCCCTCAGACCCTGGCTGGGGGAGCAAGTGCTGGGCAGGAGTGGGGAGGGGTGCATTCCCCCCCACAGGAGGCAGAGGCTGGGGAGGGGGGGGCTGAGCCAATACCTGCCCAGCTCTCTAGGCTGCAAGGAGGGGAACAAAAAGCCCTCACCACAGGGGCTTTTCCTCCCCTTGCTGTATGGCCTGGGGCTGGGGAAGCGGGGCCTGGGAGCCCATTCCTCTGCCCCACTGTCCCACTGGGCTGATAGGCCCAGGCAGGAAGCAGGCTAGGGAGCTGAGGCTTTAGCACTTCAGTTCCGTGACAGCTAGGCTGTCCCTAGACAGACAGCACAACCCGGTGCTGCAAAGCATCCTGGGATATTGGGGAACTGAATTAACTTAAATCAGGAAGGGATCTGGGACAGAAGTTCCATAAGCCAGTTTAACCTAAATCAGTTAAGTCTGATACTACCTCTGTTCAGGTTTATCTTAAACTGGTTTGGGCCATTTTGAAAACGGTTTATGTGCACTGAAGTTCTACTCTGTTACAGGTTTAAACCAGCTTCCAATCACTTAAATCAGTCTGTGTGTAATTTCTGTCCCTAGCCTCTAAGTCATGAAGCTGAAAGCTCAAAACTAACTGCCTTGGAAAACTTCTAAGAATATCTTTTTCTGATTATATCAATAGCAACGTCACTTTGGGTGTGTACATATATCCTTACTTGGTAGTATTCGTGTTATCTATAGCTATCCAGCTGAACTCTCTCACGCACACAGACATCATTAGTGAATTCTTTGTATAAATCTACTGGGCAAAGTGTAGAATCATACTGGCATCTTTGCCTGACTGTCAATCCATCATTTCACAATGCTAAGATAATTATTTCTATTCATGTCGTCATGAATTTTGCTCCGTCTTAGCAGTTGCTGTTAAGTCCTTTTCTCTTGCACAGTGTATACCTACAGAAGTGATACAAGTAGTTAGCTGCCTTTCCAAGACAAGTGAGGTTGTGGAAGTTCTTAGGTAGCTTTCCAGTACATTTACCTATTTCTAGAAACAGTAATTTCTGTACTAGCAAATGATCCCGTGACAAACTCTGGTAGGTAAATATCATTCAGCAACAAGGTAGCATCAACAGGCATTAAATGTTATTTGTAATAAGTCATTAGAAACAATGTGAGTTTTTACTAAGTAAAGATTTAAGGATTAAGCCTGTAAACTATGAATAGGGACCTACCAAAATTGAGGTGGCAGACAAGCAATTTTGCAAGCTGATAACGGCGCTGGTCACCATTTTTCTGGACTTATCACAAGCAAGGCCCCCCTCGTCCTTATCCCCCCCACTCACTGGACAAGGGAGCCCAGCAGCCCTGCCCCTCACAGCTGGTTGGCCAGGAGGGCTTCCCTTCACATGGCCCTGCCCTATGCCACTGACTGGCAGAGGACTGCACTTTATGCAGTTCCATCCCTCACCACTGATCGGTGGAGAGAGGCTGAGCTGCATGAAAGGCAGCCCTCTCCTCCCTCTGCCACTGATTGGCTGAGGAGGTGGCCACTATCTTGGCTACTCCCTTTCATGTCAGCAGCTCCCCCTCACTTGGCAGGCTGTCAGGCTGGACCATACTGGCTGCTGGCTCCCACTGGGGAGCTAGCATTTTGTTTTTAGTAAGGTTTTTTTTTGCCCAGCAATTCTGCATGAAATTGCAGAGACTGCAGTTTTTCCTGGTTTCTGTGAAAATCATGGAGTCGCGATTTGAGTAAGTCCCTAACTATGAAGTCAGCTACTAGTTAATACAGCTCCTAGAAGTGGTCAAGTAATGTTACAAGCTCGCTGTTTACACTAATGTTGTGGGTTCAGATTTTAAAAGAAATTTGGAGTTTGAGAGTCTCCCATTCCATTGATATCTAACAGGAGATAAATGCAGGATTTCCTTATGCAGCTTTGAATATCCCAGCTGTGATTTTTCACCTGGCAATGGAACCAGGTGTCAAACCACTGTCTTTCTTCTCCGTGTAGTTTCTTTGAGCAGGATAAACTGTACATATCTGCCTTCATCGAGCCACTATGCCTACCTTTCTTGACTTCCCCTTTTTCCATATGCTCTTCCAAGTATTTAACATAAGGTACATGAATTCTGTGTTGTTTTATGTTAATGTGATGGCAACAATCAGAAGATTCTTGCATATCATCTTACTTTGAAGTTTAGTCTGGAAACCACCACATCTCCATTTGGGGTAATAATAGGAACATTTTCACACACAATTCCATGATCAACATCAATAACTTTTCCTACAAGTTAAGGAAAAAAAAGTTAGTGAAATATTCAAGGAAGCTCTAGAGGTCTTTGCACATGGCTATGAGCCACAAATATCCAAGTGTCAAACCTGGCTTTGGGCAAATTAGTCAAACACCTATGTTTCAGGTTCCCCTTTTGCAATGTAGAGATGATAATTCTTAAATATCCCAGTGGGTCACTGTTAGGATTAATTACTTAACATCTGAACAGATTTGTAAAAATATAAAACTTGATAATCTAATTAATACTATTTTTAAGCCTTTTACTAACACACACTTGCTTTCGGTAGTGAGTGTAATCCAAGTACAACTGATTGTAAAACCATAAATCACTGCATATCAGGATGGATTAAAAAATAATCAATTATTTCTTTAAAAAAATAAAAATGTGGATTTTTTATTTAAATCATATTTTAATCGAATTTTTAGATACTTTAAAAAAATAAATCTATATAAAGATAGTTTTAAGATATCTTAAAGCTCAAAGATATCATCATGGAATAGGGATTATATCTTCTTGTTATATACTATTTGAGATTATATTGCTGGATAAAGTATATGAGAAATAAATTGAACAGTGCGCAAAAAATCTAGAGGGAAAATTGTTAACCCGAGTCTTGATGGATGCAACGATGGACACAGTTATCCAGTAATATGCGATTGTGTGACAAGAGAAAAAGGGACTGTCTGCTTTACAGAAATAATTGTTACATCAGGAAGTGCGCACACAGCAGAATACTTACAAGTAGCAGTAAAAGTTATAACAAACTGAAAAAAATTCAAATGTCTAGTAGGCAGCTTTGTTTCACACAATGCTGCAAATGTATCAAAGTTGAGAAGAAATCTAGAAGAAAGTGAAGAAAGCCCCAAGCTAATAACATATGGTTACAGCACTCACTTGATGCACCTCTTAGGCAAAGAATTCAGTGCTCCAAAAATAAAAGCTAATGTTGAAATTACAAAACACTTCTGTCACAACCACTGTACAGTAGCTGCTCTGAAGAAAGGAGGGGGAACCAAACTAAATCTCCCACAACACATGCAATAAAACTCAGTAGTGAACTGTTTTGAATGGTATATTGAAAACTGACCTAATCTGATGACAATTTGTGAACAAGACTGACAGAATAGATGAAACTGTCACAGCCAAAGTTCTCAATATTCGGCTAAAGAGGAATGTAGAATGTGTGCTGACTACCCTGAAGCCTATTTTCATAGCCTTGAACAAAGTGCAGGGAAAGTGCTGTTTTATTGCTGATGCTGTTTAAAGTTGGAAGAAACTGAGTGAAACCTTGAAAAGAGAAATACGCAATGACAGATTGAAATTACTGGCATTAAAAAAAAAAAATGGATCAAGAGCTATATCCAGTTTATTTTCCTGTTAATATTCTCAATACTCAGTGCCAGAGTCATAGTTTCATAGTTTCTAGGGTCGGAAGCAACCTGAGTAGATCATCGAGTCCGACCCCCTGCCATGGCAGGAAAGAGTACTGGGGTCAAAAGACCCCAGCAAGGTGTACATCTAGCCTCCTCTTAAAGTCCCCCAGAGTAGGAGCCAGC